TTTTCTATAACAGGTAATGCTGCATTATTGGTGTCCAATAACAAACGCCTATAGGCTTATGATAAATCTATTGGGTTTTGACAAAATTGCATTCTTCAAGCTCGGTCATTAATTTTCTTTTCATATCAGTGTGAAAACAAAGTTCATATTTTACTTTTCCAAGTATCGTTTTTCCTACAAAAGTTTATCCCCGTGTCATTTTGGTAATATGATTTTTTTTTAAAAAAAGAAACTTCTGGTGTCATTTTGGTAATGAAGGATATTTATATTTTGCTAATTATGTAAAAAATCTTCTTAGTTTTGTCCTAATTTTTTTTTTATTTTTTGGTTCTATTCTTTTGGTTTTTACACAGTAGGCATATTATCAAAATGTTTTTATCCTGGATTTCCAAGTACTAAGGGGGTGATTGTTTATGGATTCAACTAATTTTTATTTGGTTTGTTTTCTAACTATAGTTAATTTTTTAAAAATGTGGTATGGTTAGTTGTTAGTGAATATATTAAAATAATATATAAATAAAATAATTAAAGTTGATTTGATGTAAAGTAGGAGAAAAATGAGTGAAAGTGATAGTTAGTTAAAATTATGTGAGTGGATGAATAGTGAATTGAAGTTGATGTGATGTGTAAGAATGATTGGTTGATATTATTTAATTATATTGATAATATGAGAGATAATGGGATTGAGTTAAAGTTGAGTTAAATTTATGTTTTGATTGATTTTTTTACTGTTGAAACCATAAGCAATCGCCCCCTAAATAACTTGAGAGCGAACAAATGTGTTATATTTAAAACCTTTTTTTTTTTAAATGTTGGTGTAGTATGAATAATCCTGGTTTACGTTTGATGTTAGACTCGTTAGTATGATTCAAAATGATGCATATGTGTCTAATATTATTAGTTGAAGGTCATTTAGTCTTCGGATTTCAGAAGCTTGAGAAACATATAAAAATGAGGCTTGCATGTTACAAGTTCTTTGGCTATTCGAACTTTTGAGGAGACTTGGCCTTGCTCGGGAGGTTTAGCTTGCTTGCAATATTATGCGATTTACACCAACATGGTGTTGGTATATTGCGGCCGCAAAGTTGGGTTCATGAAGTCCATGTATATGTAGATGGTGTACTAAATATTCTATATTAGGGTGTACTCAAATCAACATACTGCAGACAAATCTTGGATTTTTCCATCACACCCGCCGCTTTATTCTTTGGTAAGGGAAAAATTGTTTTGGTTCCTGTATTTGCTTTTCTTGGAAACAATGTTTATTGCATGAAATGAACTTCTATATGAACTAATTGTTCTGTGATTGTGCCAAATACATATTCAATCAGCTCTAGACCCTGTAAGTTCAATTTTTGTTTGTTTGTTTTGCTTATCTGTTATTTACCTTATTCTATGTCGATGTTGTGGTGATTACTTTCGTATTTGTAACCCACTTTTCTTTTTCTGCAGGCTCAGGAGCTCACTCTGGCTCCAATTCAAACCTCACCAGATAGCTGCTGGTGCTGCTTACCTTGCTTCCAAATATCTAAATTTGAATCTTTCTTCATCTGATAATGTTTGGAAGGAGTTCCATACACCGCCATCTGTACTCAGAGGTAAGCATTTTTCTTTCTGAGCATCTGAATTTGTCTTGAGCTTTTTATGTCACATGTAATATTAGGAAGTGTGCTATTACTAAGAAAAAGAAAGTGATAGATTGCTTCTAGCTAAGAAAAAACTTATTTTAATCACTCTCGATTGTCAACTTTTGCTTTTGATTTCGCATAACTTAACAAAATTCTAAAAGCAGAGGGACATTTTATATTTTAGATTTTAGATTGTGTTTCGGGTTCCACTTACAAGCAGACGATCAACTTCTTCAACTTACCACTCTTTCTACTTTTAGCTTTTTTTTTTTTTTTTTTTTAAAGTTCTACTAATTTGTTTTCTATTAGTTATTGTATGTAGATCTACATGCAAATCATTTGTCAGTGTTTTTCTTCAAGTACATAACAGGAAAACAGAAGTGGTCTGGATCTTTTAAGACAGTAACTAACAATGGATTTGAATACGACTTTTTTGATGTGCTGTTTTAGTGAATACCATTATTGAAGGCTCGTGTATGATTGACAGGTAAATTCAGATGATACCATAATTGTATGTTTTCATGTTGATCAAAATAAATAATGGAAGTAACCATTTTCCACTCCATTGTTTAAAAGTAGAAAAATAAAAACAGATAAGAGGAGAAACTGATTTGCATTGTAACCCGACGAGAAATGGATGATGTTAGTCATTGGCAAATAATAGTCCGAAAATTGTGTATAATGTGCCTAGAGATAATTTATGTCTATGAAATTCACCAACTTATGCTGGTGTTTTTGCAGATGTTGCTCATCAACTGATGGAACTATTTTAAAATATCGAGTCCGGTTGACCTGGAAGCAGTTGTAATCAAGCTAGTGGTGGCCATGCTTTCGTGCTCCCCGAGTCTTTTTTCAATGCTCATCCGGAGTTCAGAATTGAGGATCAATGGTGTTCTTCTATATGTGGTGGAGAATGACAAGATTTAATAAAAATGTTTTGGTGTATAGATAGATGCTATACTTAATTTCTTTTGTTGTATGTTGTCAAATGGTGTTAATCTTGATACTACATCACGAAAACACTAATATGCTTTCATTCTATGCGAGGCTGATTTGTGTTTGGTTCAAAAATCGACATAGCTATGTTGAAATTCTGTCATTTTTCTTCAATATATTCTTTTGTTTTTATTAGTAGGTGAAAACTTAGGGCGTGGTATATCAACTCAAAATTTTTTTTTTTTTGTTAATCAGGGTTAATTTTGAAAATATGGTATGATTAGTTGTTAATAGAATTTTGATTTTTTTATTAAAATGATATTCAAAATAAAATAATTAAAGTTGATTTGAATTTAATATAAAATTATAAAAGGGATGATATGAATTGATGGTGAGTTAAAAATTATGTGAGTGGATAAATAATGAATTAAAGTTCAAGCGATATGTAAAAATGATTGGTTGATATTATTCAATGATATTGATAATATTGAGGATAATGAGATTGAGTCGAAGTTGAATTAGATTTAGATTTTGATTATGAATTGAGTGTAGATTGAGTTTATTCATATATAAACACGGTAAAATTGTCAGAAGTCAGAGAACAAGAATAACTAGGGGGCACCGACAAGTTTTTCACACATACAATTCACTCATTTTATTATTTTTCTCAATTTTATTAAACATAATTTTAAATTTTAAAGTGAAAATTTAAATCTTCACTAAATTCTTTAAAAAATTGCAATTATCAATTTTTATCTTTCTGTTGATCAATTATTATGTTGTCATTGTAAGTTATATTTTTGAATTATTACATCTTCATCATGCACTCATTATACTTAATGTTTTCTTAAATATTTGCACAAACCTTTTTCAACGGAAAACTTTTTTTGCCAAATAAAAAATAAATAAATAAATAGTATCCAATGGTTACTTACAGTTTGATCGAAAACATTTCTTGAATAGACTTTTTGATACAAAACATCACTTGATTAATTAATTATGTTTGGTACAAAATTAAAAATGGACTACGGATAATTTCATTTTTACTAAGTTGTTAAAAGACATATTAATCATAGTTTTTAGGGCATCTTTAATAATAAATCTCCACAAACTTCATTTTTCTATTCTCGATGTAATACATAATTTAAAACTTTATTCTTATTCCTACAACAAAATATTAAATAACCATAAACCTCTTTTTTAATAAGCTCCATATTTCCCATTTACTATATTTTAATACTAGTGTAGAACACGTGTGATGCACGGAATGCACAGTTTTAAGGCTATTTATCCAGCCTTATTATTATATAATGAATAAAAAAATTCAATAAATAAGATAAAATACTATTATATATTATTAAAAATCTCCTTGTAGACAACATTTTTACTTTGTGAACACATCATCCTCCCCGCAAACTAATACTTTCAGGCTCTTTCAATTAGTGACACGAGAAACAACTACGTACAACTTGTCGTGACTGAACAATGATTTCTTCGAGAACATGCCAACATGTGATACAAACTGACATTGACTTCTGTTAATCATCATGACTTAAAAAACCATTAGAGAAAACTGTATGTGCTGAAATTTGTAAGGTACTCTAAAGTCGGAAAGTGCTAGAGTCATCCGAGATATCATCACCTTCTCTTTTGCATTAGATACAGTCAATACCTTTCATTCAAGCATATGAGTGGAGAACTTTGTGGCAACCAATCTCGTACCATTGCCCAACCCCATAGAATGGTCAATGTTCCGCAATAACATGACTGTGTTCCTATAGATTCAACTAATGGTTCGACACTCTAGAACATCTTATAGTATTAAAAACTCGGATATTTTGAGATTGGACAAAATATCATTATTGGAATCAGACTTACACGTACTATTAGAGCTCAAGTATGTTTGACCATCATTCGCGTCCAAAGATATTATGTACTCATTGATAGATTCAATTATAATTTTAAAATAAAAATAAGGAACAAAAAAAAAAAAAATAAAGATTTGGGGGCAAAAAATTATGTCATATATCACTTCTAGAATAGGAAATAGAACATAGTTAATGTTATTAAAAAGGACCATAAATATCTAGTATATTTATGATTATTCTAAGTCTAATTATCTTTTGATTAATAGTTTAATCCAAACCAAAAGCATGAATATTTGTCACATAGGATCTCGAAGTATTCGAGTCGGTCACTTAAACTCAACACATTCGAGAATTATATATAACTATAAGGGTGATTAAACTATTATAAATAAAACTAATGATGTTTATATATTGATTATCAAAATCTAAAATAATATTGTTAATTCAATTAATTTTTTACTATAAATTATTATATATTGTTCTTTATTTATTTTATCCAACTTCAACAAAATATATAAATATTTTTTCTTTCATTTTTAGTTGTACATTTAACTACATTATCAAATAACTGTGTAGTACGTGGGTATCATACTATTAAAATTTTATTTGTAGTACACGATTGAATATTTTTATTTTATTATTTTTTATTTTTTTATTTTCATTCTTTGTACGTTATGAGAAAATTTAGAGATGCTAGTAACGAACCACTTACTTAGAACGAAACGAAATAAAACGAACGCACGCAGTGGGGGAGAACATTGTTTCGCCAAAAAAAAAAAATCCTCTTTTTTCTGCGTTTTGCTCTGATAATCTCATAATTCTCCCCCAAAATTCTCGTTTTTGTACACAATCACAGGGTTTTAGTTCGATCCGGCAAAGGGCTTTGCAGTAATACCTCGACAAATCCACGGTTTTTTGGTGTTTGGGTTTCTTTTTTTTTTTTTTCAAACAAGTTAAATCTTTTGCCAGCTGAGCAATTTTCCGGGATTTTTCTCCTGGATTCGGCGGCTTTAATGAGGGTTTTGATTTGGTCAAAATTAGCGACAGAGAGAAGATGCTATCGAATCATTTGCAAAATGGAATGGAGACTGAAAACTTGAACTTAATCCGACAAATGAACGAAAAAATCGTAAAGTAATTCAGAAAATATTAAACTGCCATTGATAAGGAGCACTTAGCTCAAAAATATCTCAACTGTAGATTTGAGAAATTTACTGGTAAAAATTCAGATATGCTCTCCTAGGGGCTGCTTCTTTTCTTGGTGGCTCGATGCGGATGACTGTTTCTCTCTGTGTGATTATGGTCTAGATTTCAAATAACTTGAAGTTTCTACCTCTCACCATGCTAGTCCTTCTCATATCAAGGGTATGATCCCCTTTAAAAACCTATATTATCATATATTTTATAGTTACCTAATGAGGCATCTGTCTTTGATTTGTCCGAGGAAACACAATCCAATGGAAACAAAAACTAAAATTTTTTAGTTACAAATTATTTAATTTTTATACCTTTCACTTTTATCCTTCTCCCTCTTCGGTTTTTGTCTCGTGTGTATGTACATATATCTTTTATCAGCATTGTTCTCCCAGCAATTGTTTTCACATGATATAACCAGTACACGTTTATCAAAAGGAGCCTTTTTTTTTTTTTTTTT